TCAACCCCTCAACTCCCGTTTCCACTCCCCTCCCACCTCTTCACCGCTCCTCCACCTTCCCACTACTCACCCCACCTCCCCAACTGTCACTCTATCCACCCTCATCCGTACCATTCTACCCCCCACCTCCCTACTTCTCACCCCTTCTCTACCCTTCACCCCCATCTATTCACTCTTCACCTCTCACTCCTACCTCTCTACTCCTCCCTGACCCCTGTAGAACCTGCTGCTCCCTCAGTGGGTGCCCATTTCTTATGATCAATAGCTGGGTGCTTTGCACTCTTTAACACTCCCATTTGTGCTGTCCTTGGAATCTTATCCAAACTCTTGAATCCCCTGTTCTAATTATTTCTTCCCAACTATGGGGATATCAGCCCTGTTAAAAGATTTTTGAACAGCTTAAACTTGTCTCTGGAAAATTTTTCCAAGTGAGCAATGTTTTCAGCTTTCTCCCTTGTAATTATGCTTCTGTATTTGTGCTCTGCTTGTGCTTGACTTTGATTCTGTTTACTCAGCAGTTACAAGCTGTGCCACATAGCAATCAGCTGACAGAAAGACAGCATTACCATGTGCTTCCAAATCCCACGCCCGTGGCCCTGCAGTGATCCTGCCTGATAGTGACCCAATAGGGCAGGGACCCCACAGGGTTCCATCGGTCCTGTAAGGCTGTGGTCTTTCTGGAAGTAGGTGGTCACAGAGCTCTCATGCGGAGTGCATGGGTGATGGGCTTGCACTGCCCAGCACTTAACCACTGTGCCACCAGGGCTCCTTCCGATGTAGTTACAGAGCCAGAAAGTGTAATCCAAGTCAAGGCACCACACAAACAGCATAAACCTTCAGAGCAATGTTTTTTCAGAGATACCCTTAACTCCCCTTTCCCTGTTAAAAGAAGGCATTTAAAGAGAAAGAAATCAAAAGTGAGATCAGATTTAGGAATCCATCCAACTTCATAAAGGAAAATCGGATGCTGCAAAGCAAACTGGAAGCGTAAGATAACTGGCTCAGGACCCAGAGCCAAGTCAATGGCCTCTGGGGAGCTGGACTGCGGCCCCGGCTTCCTAGCTGTCTTCTCCCTCCCATGCTGGTCTCAGCAGGAGCTGCAGCAACAGAACCGAAAAGACCCATGGACAGAGAGAGCGTACCCAGAACTGACTCCTCGGCTAACCGAGATTCCCTAGCACATCACCAAAGCAGGACCCAAGAAAGCTGTCAAGTTTTACACGAAGTTTAAGGTTTGCTTCGTTAAAATGATTTTCAAGCATATCTTCTCAGCACAAACATCTGAAATGAAGATACAAGGTGACTAAAAAAAAAAAAAAAGCAAGTGGATCACACAACAGAGAAGGGACACGACAAGGCAGGTGGCATGAGACAGCCAAGCAGCAGCAGCAGCAGCAGCAGGTGAGAGCCAGGATGACGTGTCATTGTGTCCTGTTCACTGTTGTGTCACCAGAACTCAGGACAGTGCAGGGTACATACGACTGCGCTAGAGGACTGAATCCAGACGGCAGAACTGTTCGGGATGTACAGACAGTAAGTAGTAAAAGATGCTACACACATATACCAAAAATATAACTTGACATGGAAGATCATCACTAGTGTTAGATGAGTATTTGAATGGAAAGATGGGGCAGCTTCCTCCAGTACAAGCTTGTACTGTGGAGTTCAGCCTTCAAGGTGGCCAGCTCTCACCCTGGGGACCCACGTGGACTACCAACTGGTGGTGGTGGCAGGAGTGCTCCCAGGATAGGACACTTCTTTCCTCCCTAAGAATAACCATTGTGAAGGACCTGAGGGATGCTAGTACTGTGACAGCACTGGTCTTGGAAGTGATGGTGAAGGAACTGGAAGTGTGGATGAATTAATGTTAGTGAGAAACAAATACACAGATGTGCACACACTGGAGGGAACGTCCTTTGAAGAATGTTTCTTTTCCTTGAGAATAATCTGCTAGACTGTGTCACTAAATGTACATTCTTCAGACAGTTGAGCAGGCAACTCAAATAGAAACACACTAGATGCACGTCAGCCTGCCACAACTGTGCCATCCCTGCACCAGACTTTCAACATTAAGAATCCCACCTGAAGGGGAGCTCTGGTGGCCTAGTGGCAAGTAGCTGCAACTACAAACTCAGAGGTGCACGGTTCGAATCCACCAGATGCTCTGCCGGGGAAGGAGGGACAATCTCCTCCTGTACCAGTCAGATCTGATTTGATGGTACACGCACACACACAAAAAAAGAATCCCACCTGAGTGATGACAGCACCGCGCTCGGATCCACGGAGATGCTCCTGTATACTGTTAGTTGACACTTCTGAAAAAGATGTGACAAATCCCATTCAAGCAAAACCCTCACCCCCCACTTAGGACATCACAGCACAGAGAGAAGGGGCTTGTCGCAGTTTCAAACGACCCTTCACAACATCCCCGTGAGGAGGGTCTGACATTAATTTGCTTCATTTACTAAGGCAGGGACATAAATGCTACAGCAAAGGCAAGGGGCTATCCCAGAGGTACAGGGCTCTAGGGAGACTCCTGAACTGAATCTCAGCCATACTTTTACGTCAATCAGATAAACAAGACACCCCTAGTGTTTAATACGGTATGTACAGTATGACGGCGTTTCTGAGAGTGGTGAAAATGTGGCTGCTTTTCGGAATTTTATGAAACAAGTTTTTATGAGCCATCCAGTTGCCAGCAACTCACAGCAACCCTCTGTACACTAGCTCTGCAGCCTGCTCTATCCTGAGCCAGCCTCCTCTCTGACAGACCTAATCCCATTTCTCCAGTCACTGAGTAAAATCCATCTCATCCTGGGCCTTCCTCTCCTGTGTAGGTAAATTCATCATTATAATGCAACACTGTAACTCAGTTTTTGAAAACTAACTTATAAAGAATTTATACCTGGAAGGATAATGCAGAATACTTTGTGCGATTAACTAGGGAGCTCTGGTGGCTTAGTGCCAAGAAAACTGCGCTGTAATCTTGAAGGCACACAGTTCAAGGTTACCAGCTGCTCCACCAGAAAAGGATGGACAACCTCCTCCTATGTGATTAACTGCCTCTAAAAACAGTGGATGGTCAGCTATGAATCAGTTCCAACTCTAAGGAACACAACATGATTATCAATTCTTTTAAAAACCAGACCACTATAAAAGGGAGAAAAATTCCAACTTAATACAAAGCTACAAAATTGTGTTTTCATTAGAAAACCACTTTTCAGGGAGCTCTGGTGGCCTAGTGGCAAGAAGCTGCACTGCAATCCCAGAGGCATGTGGTTCAAATCCACTAGATGCTCTGCTGGAGAAGGAAGGGGCAATCTCCTCTTGTGCCAGTCAGATCCAATTTGACGGTTACACGTACAGACACACAAAACAAATTAAAAAAAAAAAAAAAAGCAACCAACTCTTCTCAGCTGCCTAATAATATTTTCAGGTGAAAACAATAAAATTAAAATGTAGTTCCAAACCATTTCAAGTAAAATGGCCAGAACTGTACCTTTTAAAAATTGGTGGAAAAAAAGGTTCACTTGTCCTTGAGAAAGTATTTTATGAAAAAGTATATTAGTATCTAGTGCTAAGATTTTGAATCTGGAATGGCTTCTCGTGACACTACATACACTTTCAAAGACAATTAAACCAAAGTCAGTAATTCTGATTGCACATCTTCTGCCGTTCACCTCTTAGGGAGCTCTGGCGGGGTGTAGTGGCAAAGGAGTTGTGCTCCGAAGGCAGGAATCCACCAGTTACTCTCCCTTAGAAAGACGGGCAATCTGTGATTCAGTCTCTGAAAACCCACTAGAGGGAGCAATGAGTTTTCTCATCTTGACAACGAGTTGAGTTCACCTCTAAAACTTATCCTCACTCCCAGGAATTTCACATTAATAAGTAACAATTAATTGATAAGAAATTGACAAAATGTCAGTTACATAATTAGGCTACGTCACAATCCTGTGATTACAACATAAATTTAAATGCAAAAGCTAATAGAGCTTGGACTATCTGTGGGTAGAATTACCTGCATAATTTCAATGCACTATAGTGTTAAGAGACTGCACTGTCAACCCGAAGGTATGCAGCTTGAAACCACCAGTTGTCCCACAGGAGAAAGTTTGGCAATTTCCTCCTCTGATATAATTTACTGCCTCTCACAACAAATTGAGGGGTCAGCTATTAGTTGGTTTGGACTTGGTTGAACACAGTATCAACATTAGGCTGACTCAGAATACAATCGTTTTCTTAAAATTACAACGCAACAGGGCAACTTTCGGGGACTTATCATGAAACTAGCAGACACTCTGTTAGAGAAGTTTTCCTGAGAAATGCCATTGATACAATCTGTCAGTTAATAAATGCCTTCTCCTTGTTTCTGGTACGTTAGTACCCAAGGAAGAGTAGACAAGCAGAAGCCCATCCTTCCATCTGAGGCCTATGGCCCACTGCTGTGGTTCTGTGAAGTAACTCTCGCAGGTGTTCTCTGGCCCCAAGCATGGGCAGGCCTTACATGCTGGTGACACCAGGCCAAGAAGTCAAGGAGACTGCTCTCTGATTTCTAACCAGGTATCTCCAAGAGCACCTTTGCTATTTTCAAGTTCATAAAAAACCAATGAGCTGTAACTTCCCGAAGTCTGAATGTGGAAGCTTTTCATAGAACCAAAGAACACACCCATTATGGGACTGAAAATGTAAATGAGTGCCCAGACTAAATAGTTCACAAAGTCACATCTGTTTTCCACCAGGAGGTAAACTGTAAAAAAAAAAAAACCAAAAAACAAACCAAGACATGAAAGGAAATGCAGAGTTATAAAATGCTTTGTCAGGTAAAAAGAAGCCCGAGGAAAGGGGGGAAAACAATCCTAGAAGTGGGTGGCAGCCCCTGTCGCACCTACCCAGATGAGGTCATGAGAACAAATAGCCTCTGACTCCAACGAGCCCGTGGACCGTGTGTCGTGGAACATGTGATGCCCTGCCCCAAAACTTTAAAAACAAGTCACAAAATCCAAATTAGAATATAAGTTTTTTAATTTTTATAAATAACTTATCTGTTACAAAGATAGTTTACCCAGCTAAATCACAAAACCATCAACTCAAGATATCCAAATTACGTTTTATTAATAAAACAAGTAAAAACTGATTTATCAATCTTCACATAGAACTGCAGATGAAGCTGAAAAACAAGGCCTACATTTAAAACAAAATGCATCAAATGCAAGGGCTTTGGGTCTATTGTCTAGTCAACCAGAAATGTCGTATTTTTCCTCATATACAAAACACCCTGCCCGGGAGCCGAGGCTCAGGCGTCATTAGCTCACCTGGGGCACCCTTGTTCTTGGAAAACAGGGACAGTGGGTGACAGTCTACATGGTCTCGCTTATCTTTTAGTTACATTTCAGCACTTCCCTTAGCCCCATTTCTAAGCACTGATATAGTTTCATACATCTGTCTTTTTAAGTGCATAAGGTTCTTTCTTTTTCTTGATTTCATTTTGTTATATACATTCCTGGTCATCTGAATATTTCTTTTTCTTATAAAAATATATCATCAAAATACAGAGATGCTTGAGGTTGCTTCAGTGTTCAAGTTTGCTTGTTTTTCTTTTTTCCAGCTTTTCTTCAGTTGTCTTAAGTACGACTAGCCTTGTTTTATAAATACAGGCGCTATCCTGCCTCCACAGCAGGTTCAGAAACGGACTGCCCAGCCAGTCAAGCATGGCGACGCTCTGTGAGAAGGGCTCCGTAAGAAGGGCCGCAGGTCCTGCTGGTCTGGAATTGGTGATCTCCTGGGAAAGGTCTGCAGGACATCAGGCAGATGAAGCAAGCTCAACCTTGTTGCTCTGTCAGTGGGTTCGAATACTTTTTGTTTTGGGCTTCCCTGGGGAAGACATACGCTGCTGTGCCTACCGCGCGGGCGGCCTGTGGCTCTCCGCCGCCGCCTCCTCTGCTCCTGGCGCAGTATCTGCTGTCCTCACAGGATGGGGGGCTCGGGCGGGGCACGCTCAGAGCGTGGAGAGGACAAGGGTTGTGTGCATAGTTTCATTTCATTAATGCTTTTTTATTTTAAGGCATTGTTTCTCTCAGGTAAGGCGTAAAAAGGGACATGATCGTGCTTAACCACTAAAAGGGAAAAAGAAAATTAGTTAACAACAGACTATTACACTATACATATAGAATTATAAGAAAATGATAAAGGAGCAAAGAAATCACTTAAGCAGACTCAAGAGATCTGTACAGTACGCAAAGCGCGGGGTGTTTCACTGCACATTGTACGGACAATGCGTGCTGCTCTCCGTCTCTGCCAACGCCGGCTTCAGAGTGAAGGCGTGTTCAGGGAGGACAAGACCAGGCCAAAGACACCGCGGCTATGCCAGGTTCATCCCCATCCATGGGCACGATGCGGCAGCAAACAGTTTAAATAGCTGAACCTTGTGTGTGTAGTGTTTCAACTGAGAGCTTTAAAAAGAAAAAAGCCATCATTCTTTCGATTCCTTCCTCCTGTCAAATTTCAGTAGTGACACGAGAGGAAAGGTACAGGGCACACCCAAGCACTATATACTGAGAATCAGCCATCCCGGATGCTGGTAACACGGGACACGCCTCGGCAGCAGGCCAAGTCTGAGCAGGCTCCCTCCATGTGAGGGGTTTCACTGCCTATGACATTCGACTGAGGTATTAGGAGCTCTGTGGGCTGACCCTGGACATTAGCACACCACCATGTCGTCACACCTTCAATCTGAAAAAATCCTATGTAGCAGTGAAACTTTTCCCCTGACGACAGACTAGATTCTTGAACTTTAGATGTGGATTTAGAGAAGATATAGGGCCTTTTGGCTCAGAAATGCCTTGGCATCTCACACTGTTCACAACGGATTAAGGCTGGATGGTTCAAAAAAGTACAAGCCGTGCAATTCCACTGCGCTCCCTCATCGTCTTCCGTGTCTTGACTCTTTGGTGTTTTGATGGTGGACCGTTGATCTGCAAACAAACAAATACACAAAAAGCAATTACTTTCCCAGTAAAAAGAAATCACAAAGTCTAACAAAGGACTGGCAATTTCACATGCTATCTGCACCACACAGCATGCTAAGCAGAGTGCGCCTTGCTGAAATGGGCCATGCCTAATCATCACCAACCTCTGCCGGGTCTGTAGTTTCCTCTGGGATGTAAGCACTTCATTGTATTTATGAAAGGGAAAAGAGTATTGTTCTAATTTACAACAGGGAAAATGGGAGTCAATTTCCTATGACAAGTAACAGTAGACTCCCATAGTATCACTTCGAATTGTGAAAACACTGACAGTGTATTTAAGGCTTCCACTATGGTCAATTATGTTAAATGTTCTTTATCAGAAAGCCTAGTTTTGAAAAATGCAAAAAAAAAAAAAATTAACTTCTCATGTGTCAATTTTATATGAACAAGAGACCATGGAGAAATTAGTGCAAAAAGTTCTACTGTACTTCAATATACCTAATAGTGTGCCTCAAAGGTTGTTTCTAAGATAAAATGACACTTAAGAAATGCCTTTTTTACTTGAGGCCAATTATTAATTTAGTACAGTGCTCCTATTAATTATTTTGGGAGTACAACTAAAAAGTTCCTTAAGCAAAGATGGCCAGACTGTATCTCATGTACTTTGCTATGTTATCAAGAGAAACACACCATGCTTGGAAAAATGGAAGCAAAAAAACCAGACGGACTGACAGGGCGCCTGAGAAGTGGTCATGCACAGGGGCTGTGAGTGAGGGTGGTGCCGGGCTGACATGCCTTGTTCTACCGGGTACGGAGTCACCCTGAGTCAGAGCTGACTTGATGGCACCAAAAAACAATGGGAAGAGAGCTTGCATTACTGGATTCCTCCTGTCAAGGTTTCCAGTTTGAAGCAGTGTTTGTTAATTTGCAAACTCTAAATAATCTACCAAGTTGCTAATGAAATAGAAGCTTTTTGCTATTTTAAAAGAGAAATACTGTGCTTAGTATGTGAGAGTCTTTTTGTAACAAATTTAAAAGAGGGACTGTTTGGCACTTGAGTTTCCTTTTACAGTAGTTGCTGCTGAGCTGCTCGTGACTCATGATATCCCGGCAGGGCAGGAGAGAAACACACTTCCCCAAGGGTTCAAATGACTGCTGTCTAAGAAGCAGATATCCAGGTCTCCCAAGGTTGACACCTTTCTTGGTAGATGTTAACCTTCAACATCTTGACTAGCAGCTGAGTGCTTAACTGCCTGTGTCCCCCAGAGAGAAGATAATCAGTGCTATGTGCCATCGAAGTGCCTGCTACCCATAGTGACCCTATGTACAGCAGCTCTGAAGCCTGCCCTGTCCTGAGCCAGTCTCACTAATTCTGACACACCAACCCCCATTGCCTCAGTTATTGTTATCAATCCATTCTCATTCGAGGTCTTCCACTCCTGCACTGTGCCTTGACCCTTCCCAGCATGATGTCCTTCTCCAAGGATCAGTCCCTCCTAGCCACGTGCCCAAAGTATGTGAGCTAGAACTTCAATATCCTAGCTTCCAAGGAGAAACTTGGTTTCACCCTCTCCAAGACAGGCTTATTTATTTTTTCTTGCCAGTCCACAGTTATGTTCAAGACTCTTCTCCAGCAACACAACTCAAAGGCATCGATTCTTCTTCTGTCATCTTTAGTCATTGTCCCGCTCTCTGATGCACAGCAAATAACTGAGAATATCATGGCCTGGATTAGTTGTACCTTAGTCTCTAGACTGACACTGTTGCTTTTCAGTACTTGGGAGAGGTTCCTGACAGCAGATTTTCCCAATGTAATTGGTCTTCTGATTTCCTGACTGCTGGTGTTAAAGAGTGTTGACTGTGAGCAACCTCAATCTCTTCTCCATCTATCATGATGTTGCCAAGTGGCTGGCCCAGTGGTGAGAATCTGTCTTCTTGATGCTGAGCTTCAATCCATACTGAAGACTACATACAGTCCTTGAGCTTCTGCATAATCAATAGGGGACTACATAGATTTCTGTTTTAAATTTTTTTTCTTACATTTGTATAATCTTGTATACTCAGACTGAATACTTAGGGTGTTTGGAAGACTAAATAGCAAGCAGAAATAAGGATAGGAGGAAGTTAGATTGTGAAGATTGACATGTGATTTCTATAGCCTAGCTGTTAAAAACACATGCATATCCCGAACGAATCATAAACAAAATGTCTCCTTAGCTTAGCCTCCAGACAAAATATGACGGGTTCCTTATTTAAAAAAAATATATATATAGAATACAGGCTTCTATCTATTGTGGAAATGCTTTCACATAACAGATTTTTTTTCTTACATACGTAAAAGTAGTCTTTAAACAAAGAAATTTTGTGCAACAATGAATAAATGGAAATCCAAGTTTTCTGTAAACTTTAAAATAGCAATAAAAAATTTAAAAAGGAAAGAAAATTTTTTTAAAGGTTTCTTCCTCATTATTTGTTAAACATTTTAGAGAATACAAATATCTGCATTTGAAAAATTTTCTATCAAGATCTGCTACCTAGGGGAATATATAATGACTCACGAGGTGATGAATCTTACAAATTCATCAAGAGAGTTAAAGTTTGAAGTACTTTTACAGTAGAAGGTGGCTAAAAATACCAATGATGTAAAACCTAATTTTTCAGTATGTTAAGTTTTCACATTTAATGGATACACTACCTTTGGGTTTTGGTGGCACAGGACCTACAAATCCAATATTGTCATAAAAGTTATGAATAGCGCTGGGATTAAAATGTGGTCCTGAAATATATAAAAAGTAAATATATCAATGTTTATTGCTCAAAAAGACTTAATTTTTTAAAAAGCAAATATTTTCTTCCTAAATATCATAACAATATGAATAAAGTAAATGCTTTTATTTAGAACCTTTCATCTCAAATTCCATGTGAAACTCTCCAAATAGCAAAGGTGGGAACATTCCTCAGAAAGAGGCAAGTGGTAAATTGGGGAACAGGCCAAATGAATGATGTGAAGATGCCATGGAACCAGAGCTCTGTTCTAGGTGTCAAAAGAACCTAACAGGTAATTAACAGTTTAAAATTATCAAACATGGACGTAAGCAACTAAACAGTTTTGCCCAAGCATAAAAAACACTAATGTAATGGTTCATATTTTAAAACAAAAAAAAAAACATATTTAAGGAATAGACAGAAATTCTGGACTAGCATGAACTATCTTTTTCTTTCTAAAATTAAATTACGGCCTTTCCCCTCCTAAGAATATTTCAGGGTAAAGAGATTGTCAACATTTTAAAAGACATGAAATAAAATTAACCATCTCTCAGTTAAGTGGATCTGGGAAAACAGCCCAAGTGTGATCAAGGATTGTTTGGTGGGCTTTCTCTCTCTCCTATTTTATGTTCCATTATTTCTCCAACTTCAGAATTAGGAACCTTCCATTTATTAGTCTATACAACAAAATTAAGTGGTAAATGTTTCTTATTACAATTAAGTAATTATGGCCTGGCACTAGAATCTCAAGTACAGAAAATTACTATTGACCTACATATGTGTAAACCATATTTATATTTATTTTCTTCAGAAAATTACTATTGACCTACATATGTGTAAACCATATTTATATTTATTTTCTTCTTTGTCTTAACAAATAAGAAGTGCTATTGAGAAGGAGGTGCTTTTTAATTATATTCTTAAAAGTTTGATTAATAGGGGAAAAAAGAAAAGAAAAAGTATATGAGTTACATATTTTAATTATTATTAACTTAACCAAAAGCAAACCAAACTGACTGTTGTAAAGTGGAGTCCAACTCACCACGACCCTATATAACAGAGCAAAACTGCCCCAACGGGTTTTCCAAAGTTGCAAATATTTACAGAAGCAGAATGCTACATCATTCTGTCACAAGAGTGGCTTGTAGGTTTGAACTGCTGGCCTGATGATTTTAGCTGCCAGAGCTCCTCATTTAACAGAATCCACTAATACACACAAATCAGTACTTTTGACAATATAGCCAAACATATGAATTAACATTATTATCTTAAAACATGACTAAAGCAGATTTGAATAATAGAAAATTTATCAAGTTACTCTTCAATCAAATACATAATTATGTTTTTTTAAAAAGAATGAATAAGGCCCCAAGTTTTCAGCACCATCTGGCTCCAAAGTCAAGTCCTTATAGACAGTAGGATAACGACTGACAAGTCTGTCAGCCTTTGTTAAGGAGATGGAAAATGAAGACACTGAGTGTCAGCTGAGTTAGCACAGGCCTTACCTCGGGCTTGGAAAAGATCAATCTCTTTGGTCAGACAGTCAATGTCAATCTGGAGTTGTCTATTACAACTTCTCAACTGCTGCATTTCCTCGAGCTGAAAAAGAATTCCATGCAAGAAAAGGCCAAATTTAATTCTCATGTCATGAGCCAACAAAAGGCAGTGTTTGGAAGGAAAAGAAGTACCGAGAAGAAGTGACAGAGTCTTTATAGAGAACCAAACCTTCCCAGTTTGCTGCCCACCGAACCTTTCCATTCAAACACACAGGACCCAAAAGAGAAGACTTACTGAAGGTATCTGAGATATGGAATTCGATCTTTTCAGGCGCCTTCGAGTGAGATTATTTTCCATCTCATTGACCTCAGATTTTAATTTATCCAGCTTTTTCTTTTGAATCTCAAGCTCTCTTTGAAGCCGTTCCATTCTGGCCTTCTGGTGTACCAGTAAAGCTGTAATACATATTAATAAGCATGAGCACCCACCCACCTTAAGTGAACCTTTAAAACCTGCCTCAACTCAACAAATGAGTAAACAGTTCTATGATAAACAAGGATTTTCTAAGGATTCCAAAGTCATAGTAAAACAATACTGTGAGTTTAAATACCCCCAAAATAAAAAATTTAACATCCTAACAGTTTTTAAGTATTTGAAGAGACAAATGCCACTCTTAATGTCCAAGAAGGTTGAATTTTATAGGTATACTAGAAAGGAATGTGGACTAGGTCATGTAATCTGGATGGACACAACAAACACAAAAGGCAAGTAGAGTATTCTACCCACACGAACACTAATGTTAAATGGTTCATGTTTAATAAATACTCCTACTCTAATCAGATTACATTTTATGAAAATATTTTCCCAAGATTTTTAAAGAAACAAAATAACTAATCCGTCTTGGAGGATGAATGATGAACTGTTTTGAAAACCTCATTAAACCATCAACCATGTTTTTTGTGATCCATGCATTGAATGAATGGAAGTCTTATTTTTTAGGATACTGGACTGGATGTAGCGAGAAAGCAATTTACTTTTTTAAAAGTCTGTGATACCATACCAGAAGTAAACAGGCAGATCTTGAAAAGTACAATAAATAAGGAACCTACAGAGAGGAAAACAGCCACAAGAAAACTCAAACAGATAACAACAGATTAGACTATTGGTGAAGTCCTCTTTGACCAAATTAAAATTTTTACAAGGAATAAATTAAAAAAAGGCTTGTTTCAGTAGCATGTAAACTATTAAATAAGGAAAAGCCTTAGTATACAAAGGTGTGTGCAGATCACGTAATCCATTTAGAAGTCAGCATTAAGGTATGGAGTGCAGGGGTTATTCAACTCAACTAGTTAAAAAAATTGGGAGCCCTCTGGTTACTTGGAATTGTGCTGCCAACCCCAAGGTACGAGGTTCAAACCCACCAGCTTCTCTGTAGGAGAAAGATGGGCAGTCTCTCCCTGTGAGATTTACTGCCTGTGGAAGCCAGCTCAAGAGTTGTATGAGTGTCGGTTCTGACTCTATGGCCCTCAACAACTGGTGGCCGACCTAGTGGATACGCAGTTGCACTGCCAGCCCAAAGAACAGCACCAGTTTGAATGCATTAGCAACTCGATGGGAGAAATATTAGCACCTTCTTCTGCAATTTACAGCCTCTGGAAACCTGCTGCAGGGTCAGCTGTGAGCTGGTTCCCCACCCGCAGCAATGAATTTTTGCAACAATGTTTGGATCAAGGCACATGCAAAAGCAATGAAGAAAACAGGCAAATATCCCTGCCTTTATGAGCTACACACACCCTGGATAAGGGAGAGAGGCGGAAAGTGGAGAATAAGACTAAAAATAAGGAGCACACAAACTATGGCTGAATCTATGGCTCACATCTGGCTTCTTGCTTGTTTTGTAAATAAAGTTTTATCTGGAGTCCATTGATGCTCATTTGTTTACTTAGTGCCTGTGGCTCTTTTGTGCTCTCCCAGAAGAGCTAAAGAGCTGCAAGCAGAGATCATGTGGCTGGCAGGATCCTATGGATTCATGACATATGGGCCTTTACCAAATCTGGAAGCATTGGTGAGTATGAGTATTTTAAGGTCTTTTAGTAAAACTGGGACCATCACAGTACAGAAAGGTCCAAAGTGAAACAATCCAAGACAGACAAATTCTCTGCACTTCTGGCACCATCTTAGGGGGCACAACAGCAGCAGCCAGGCACTGGAGGAATTCAAGACTGGTGCTCTGAAGACAACAAACCCTTGGCCAAACTGGTCCCACCTCTGCACCAGGACCCCACAGGAAAGAGGCATGCTCATGTCTGGGCACAACCACTGTGTGCTTGTCTCTTCGGTTTTTCTACAATGTATGGCATGCAATTAAAAAACAAAAACAAACAAACAAAAAAACCACAGGAAAATACGATAAAAACCCAACTCTTAATCAAGAGATAAACAGAACAATCGTCAATAGAACTAAACTTAAAGACGATCCAATTGCTGGAGTAATCAGATGTTGGTTTAAAAGAATGCTGATTATTCTGTTAATGCATCTAGTTAAAATGGTTGACAATATGCAGAGAGATGGAACTTTGAGAAAGGATGAAAAGTTATAAAAAACATTAAAATGCTAAAAAGAATTTATTCTCAGACAAAAAGAATTCCCTAAATTTATCAACTTTCTGGAACAGTCTAACACATATGGGCACTGATGACATAGGAGGAAAGAAAAACAAGGTAGAAGAAATAATAGTGAAAATGCATTTAAAATAAGAGAAAGACAACAAATTACATATCCAAGAAGCCTAGGGATTCTCAATTAGAATTTCAAAGGCGCTCCAAAACCAAAAAAACCACAGCAGACACATCCTAGGAACACAGCAATGGTTACGCAATTAGCTGCTGAATGGTTTGAAACTGAGTTTCTTCTATCAAGATTACAGTCAAGCCAACTCTAAGGGCTCGTTCTATTTTGTTATGTTGGGCCCTTCTAAGTTGAAAAATGGCTTGAAGGCACTAACATCATCACTACTACCACCAGACACCCTGATGACACACCAATCACTGAGAGAGAATCTTGAAGGTATGTTGCTGGCTGGCGCTGAGCAGCACAAAACCCTACCTCATACCGCAAAGTTGTCAATGATTTTATCTTGCTTTTATCAACAATCAACACCCTTGGTGCCAGCAGTCAGGAGACACACTGCATTGGGCAAATCTGCTGTCAGGGTCCTCTCCAAAATGACAAGCAATGATGTCAGTTTGAAGACTAAGGCATGCCTGCTTCAGGTCATGGTCTTTCCAATCACTTGCTATGCACCTTGGAGCTAAATAATGAATCAAGATGACAGAAGAATTAATGGGTTTGAGTTGCAGTGCTAGAGAAGAGTGCTGTGTATCGATCTTGTGGGCTACCAAGAGAACAAACAGATATGTCTTGGAATAGGTGCTGTCAGAGAGTTTGTTGGAGGCAAAGCTTCATCGTTTGTACTTTGGGTTGGCAGTGCAGCTTTTTACCTCTATACCACCTGAGCTCCCCTTTGTCTCTCACGGTCTGGACATGTTTTCAGATGAAGCTATTCTCTTTGAGAAGGAAATCATGTTTGGAATGGTGGAGAGTCAGCCAAAGAGAAGAAGACTCCCAAGGAGATGAATTGACAGTTGCAATGGACTCATGTGTATCAGAGATGATAAAGATGGCAGAGAACAGGTCAGGGTTCAGATCTGCTGTTCACAAACTTGCTGTTGAGTCATACTCAATTTGGCACCTAACAACAATATCATGTCATGTCATCACAATCTTCTGTGCTTAAGCATACTGTCACAGCCACTGTGCAAACCATCTCACTGAATAAAGGTCTTTCTCTTTTCTGAGGAGCCTCAACTCTACCAAGCATGAGGTCTTTCTCAGGAGACTCATCGCTCCTGATAGCATGGCCAAAGGATGAGAGGCAAAATCTCACTAGTTTCCATTCTAAGGAGCATTCTGGTGGTGGTGGTGATGTGCCGTCGAGTTGCCTGCAACTCACAGCGCCCCTATGTATTCTGGTGGTACTTCCTCCCAAGAAAGATTTGTTTGTTCACTTGGTGGTAATCCATGATATATTCTTCACCAATATCACAATTAAAAACCAGAAATTCTCTTTTGGTTTTCCTTCGTGATTATACAACTTTCACATGCACTGAAGATACCATGGCTTGGGTCTGTACATCTTACATCTTTAAGTGCTTCAATTCTTTACTTTTTGAAATTGGACCTACGCTCCAATCCTGATGCCACATTCTCCTTCATAAAGTCCAGCTTCTTAGAATACCTGCTCAGTATACAGAATGAAGAAGTTATTAGGAAAAGATATAATGTTGACATATACCTTTCCTTATTTAAAATGATGCAGTATCCCCTTGGCATGTTTAGACAGCTCCTAAGTCTATGAACAGGTTTTGCAGGAGCATAATTAAATGTCCTGAAATTCCCATTCTTTTAAATGTTATCCATAATTTTTTATCACCCATATAGCTGAACACCACAGTCAATGAAAGACAAATTTTTTTTTTCTATTATCTGCTTTGGCCAAGATAAATCTGATTATCCCTTTACAGTCCTCTTACAAATTCAGCTTGAAATTTATGGTGGGTCCTTACTGATGCAGTGCTTCAGCTGTTTTTGAATGTTTGTAAAGATTTTACTTGCATGTGATATCAGTATTGTAATTTATGCATTCTATTGGATCACTATTGTTTGGAATGGGCACAAATATTGATCTCTTCCAGCTGGTTGACCAGGAAGCTGTCCTTCTAAGTTCTTGGCATCCCACTGACTGAAACACTTCAATTAGCATTGTCAATTTCGAAAGCCTTACTGTTTTTGCCAAGGTGTTCAGTGTAGCTTGGACGTCTTCCTCCAGTACTCCTGGTTCTTGATTTTATATCCTTTGAAATGGCCAACTAACTCTTTATGATGCAATGTGTTCATTTTTTGATGTTTCTTGCATCATTTTTTATCTTCCCAAAAGAATCCTTTAGTAATGCAACTTGAAGCCTTAAATTTTCCTTCAGTTCTTGCAGCTTAAGAAATGCTTCTTCCAGCTATAAAAAGTAAGCACTATTGCTTAAAAATAAACCGCCAAGAATCAAGAAAAAGAGAATTCATACATATTTTCTCAGGATAGGATAATTATTTTGCTACAAGCAAGGTGCAATAACTAATATGCCTACATTTTAGGCATTTCTGTATATGTGTAATAAATTAAAGGTACTAATTATACTTTTATTGCAAATGCTGCCAAGGTAACAAATTGAAGAGGTTCAACTATATTAGGGTTGGACAGAATATATTTAACGAAACTATAACTCTTAATTTGCATAACATACTTAAACTGTAACTCTGAGTATTTTGAGTTTGTTGACTTAATTATTTGATAGTTATGAATTAATATATCATAACGTTTTGTGCAGCTAATAAAAAAAAAGT